CAAGCCTTATAAATCATCAAAAATAGAACATTATAGAGGAGTGAGAGAAACATGCTTCTGTCTTAAGTGTTGGAATCCTGAGAGATGTAACCTCCTAAAGTTGATGCCACTTGAATGTGCCATTATTTTACAAGGGGATTTTGATGAGGGTAACAAGGCTGACATGAAATCGGGGGACACCAATAAAATGATTTTTAATTTATAGAAAAATGTACACTTATGCCAAAAACATTGCTTAACAATGAAACTGTATTTAAAATGATATGCAAATGTGATTTTTATATCATTTTGCCTTTTGTTGCAAATTAAAAGTCATGCTGAAAAGAAAAATCATAGTGCGGGACAGGCCAAAAACCTTACCTTACCCTTACCAGCATAAATGCTATTCAAGTTATTTAAAATAATGTTTAATTGACTTTAATTTAATGTCATATTGATGAAAGAATACATAATATTGCGATTTTCAAATCACAAATTTAGTTGTTGTTAAATTAATTCTATGTTTGATTATTTCTTAGGGATGCAAAATGCACCAGTTGCGTGGTATGACCCTTCAGCACATTTGAGATCTCCCAGTCCAAGCTGTGGTCCCAAAGCCAAGGCTTCAGGAACTAAACAGAAAAATTCCAGTAAGTCAACTGCTTATATATATATTTAATAATATTTTGGAGCAATAAACAACACACATTAAAATGTACACCTTCCTCTCATTGTTCTTCTATTTCTTGATAGGCAAGACTGCTAAAGATCAGAAGGAGCGCAAAGACCAGAAGCCAAACAGTAAGCTCTGACTACCCCTCCATGTGTTCATTATTTTACAACTGACTATTACTGTTTGCCTGATTACTGTTATGTGTGTTGAACATATTCACACCTAGTGATTTGATTAAAAAGGAGGGGCCTGTGTTAGTTTATGTTTCACAGAGATTTTCTCAAATTGTTCTGAAAAGGAATGTGAATCAAATTAATATATCTTAGAAATGATTCTAACATTATATGTATATTCTCTTTGCCAGGATCTAGGAATCCTTCTAAAGGAGCAAATCCTGTTTTCTCCAAAAGCATGGAAAACTTGCTTGACATCACAGTTAAAACTGTAGACATACCTGACATAAGTATGTGGAAAAAGTTCTTCTTCAGTCTTGTCCTCCAAAATTGAATCTTTACTGTAAGGGGTCTGTGCTCCAAAACTACACCATTTACTGTAATTCCAGAATAGACTGCAGATGCTACTATAGAAGCAGAAAAGAAATATATCAGACCAGGTGTTTTTAAATAATTGAATGTCAGGGGTGCAGTTCCCACACAACGAAGTAGTATTAATAATGCACATGTGTACTCTTCAAAAAAGGCACTGATTGTTGACACACTAAAATATATAGATTTGTGTGTGTTTATATATATATATATATACAGGTGCATCTCAATAAATTAGAATGTCGTGGAAAAGTTCATTTATTTCAGTAATTCAACTCAAATTGTGAAACTCGTGTATTAAATAAATTCAATGCACACAGACTGAAGTAGTTTAAGTCTTTGGTTCTTTTAATTGTGATGATTTTGGCTCACATTTAACAAAAACCCACCAATTCACTATCTCAACAAATTAGAATACTTCATAAGACCACAATTTTCCTAATTTCGGCTCTGTATGCCACCAGAACAAAATTAAAAATAAAACAATCAAGTTGAAATTGAAGTGCATTTTAATTTATTTCTTGGCTGGATGTTGTGAAAGGGTTTTTCTTTACCATGGAGAAGATCCTCCGATCATCCACCACTGTTGTCCTCCGTGGACATCCAGGCCTTTTTATGTTGCTGAGCTGACCAGTGCGTTCTTTTTTTCTCAGAATGTACCAAACTATTGATTTGGCCACTCCTAATGTTCCTGCTTTCTCTCTGATGGATTTGTTTCATTTTTGAAGCCTAATTGTCTGTTTCACTTGTATGGAGAGCTCCTTTGACCGCATGATGTAGGTTCACAGCAACAGCTTCCAAATGCAAATGGCACACTTAGAATCAACTCTAGTCCTTTTACCTGCTTAATTGGTGTAGAAATAACGAAAGAAAAGCCCACGCCTGTCCATGAAACAGCTTTTGAGTCAATTGTCCAATTACTTATGGTCTCTTGAAAAGGGGGGAGATACATATTAAAGAGCTGTAATTCCTTAACCTTTCGTCCAATTTTGATGAGAATACTCTCAAATTAAAGCTCAGAGTGTGCACTTTAAGACCACTTTAAGCCCATATGGTCAGCAGCTAAAATAATAAAAATTGTGCATGTGTCCAAATATATATGGACCTGACTGTATATATATATATATATATATATATATATGTATGTACATTTGAGCATGATCTAAGAAGAAACTATGCTTCTAACCACAGGTTGAGAGCTATAGTTCCATGATCACACATGTTTGTGACCCTGTTTGCAAATGTTTGAAACAATGGTTTCATGAAACAGCAAATTGTTGAATTTTGTGGGTAGCGACAGAAGAGCCATAGTTGGCTAACAGTGCTATTAGGAAATTCACCCCGGATTGTTTGGATTTGTTATACTAATGCATTAATAAAATGAGCGAACCTTTCATTCCCTTTGGAGGCAATACATTAGTGGTTTCTGAAAGCTTTTTATTTCCTCTTTCTCTCATTACAGATCCACCTGCTATTTCACCAACTGTGCTAAACTTTGCTAAACGAAGTGACCTTCTTAAATGTGAGTTTGACATAGTTTCGATTTTATCCACTTGTTCATGTTCATCACCTTTTACATCTATATGCTTGTGTTTCTTCTGTCTAGATGGCACTATCCTCAATTTTGACGTCAGAACAGCTCACAAGCGGATCTCGCTGTCTGAAAACAACACCAAAGCGACAGTCTCGGACGACCCAGCTCATTATACAGATATTCCCCTTCGCTTTTCTGTCTGTTCCCAGGTGCTCTGCACAAAGGGTTTCTCTCAGGGCCGTCATTATTGGGAGATCAAAATGAGCAGTAACAACTTCTGCGGATTGGGACTTGCATACGGACGAATTGACCGCAAGGGTCCCTCTAGCCGTCTGGGGCGTAATGCAGACTCCTGGTGTGTGGAGTGGTTTAACATGAAGCTTTCTGCATGGCACAACAGCATCGAGACGGTGCTGCAGAATCCCAGCCCAAGCCGCGTGGGCATCTTGCTGGACTGTGATCAGAGAAGTGCAACATTCTATACTGTGCAGGACCGGGCCTACCCTTTCCACACATTTGTCTTTCCTTTCACTGAGGCTGTGTATCCCGCTTTCTGGATCTTCTCAAATGGCTCTTCTGTCTCTTTGTGCAAGCTCGGCAATTGAAAGTATCTAAGTCGAACTGATATTCATTTGAATGAATTGATGTTTTGTTTATCTTTGGAAGAAAAATTGAGATATTTTTAATATACTGTCATCTGTGTCCATTCAGTGAGTCCACACAACCAGAATGTTCAAGCTTCATGAAATCTTTGAAGGATTTTCAATAGATGGGCAAAAATAATTACGGTAAATTTAAAAATATCTTCATTTTTGTTCCAAAGATGATCAAAAGTCTTTTGAAACGGGTTTGAAATGACAGGAGCATGAGTAACAGATGACAGAATATTAATTTATGGGGTTTAATCAAGCCAGGTTTGATGCAAATAAACTTTTAAATTCTAATTTAGGTGTGTTGTGACTGTACAGAATGCATAAAGCAGTCTTAAAGCAGTTTTAATCTATAAATGTCCGGGTAATGTCTTTTAATGTTGACCAAAAAAAAAAAAAAAGATTGATGGATGGATGATATCGAAAGGCTAATGCAGTCCAACTGTCACTAAATAAACCTCAATAAACTATTATAACTATTATATGGCTACGTACCAAATAAAAGTAAATCAATTATTGATTTAGTCTGAAATTACTTTCAAGAACAAGAAGAACAAGACTGCAGAGTGATGCAAGAGACACTAGCTCAGCTATGCTGAAAATACTTGAGTTGAAAACCGCGCAAGACAACACTCAATCGAATCGTTTAGTGGTCATTATTCAAAAATGTTTGACTTAATTGCTACGATTGACGTCATTGATCCAGAAAAGAGAAATTTCAATGTACATATGTGGTTTGCAAATGTTGACACATTATTCTTAATTAATCTTACTTGGTTCTGTGAATTGTGTTATTTTGGCAGATTTTACTTGCGAGTTGTTTGAAGTGTTTAACTTCATCACATGATCACACTTGACATTTGTTGGTTTGATCACATGGGCAAAGTCCACTGGCCGTGTGCTCCAGATAGAGTTGTATTGGTTCTTGATCAAAGTATCCTCGCCGGGTCCAGTCAGTTTTTAATTTAAGCATGTGCAATTCTGTCAAACCAACAAGTGTTAAATGTGTGTTAAAAATGTTAATAGTGAAAAGAAAAGTTTAGTAGTAAGGCATTTATTGTTTGCTTTATGCAATATTACAATTTTGGTTGATACATCATATAGAGTAACTGATTATTTAAAAAATGTAAATGAAAATATTGTACATTGTTGGGGAGAAAAATATACATAAAGTAACATATCAGAATGATACCAATAAAAGCATTACATGACCAAGTCTCGTATAAGAATAAATATAACATCTAGATTTATTGTTCTTTCTCTCTCATCTTCTGTTGTATTGATCACATTTGTGAAATTGTTATGTTATGACTTAATCCTGCTCCTGTAATGGTGATTGTTCATTTGTGCAGCTCCCATTGTTTTCAGTGCTGAACAATAAAAAAAATATAATTACAATAAAAAAATAAACTACATTTTTGACCAAGGAATTCTTTATGTTCTAACTTAATTAAATGTTTTGGCTCAATCGTCTCCAGCTTGTAATATATGTTGGTATGTTATCTGGGTATACAAACAAGCCTAGTTACACATTAAACACAATGCCAGGAGCAGCTACTGTCAAATAAAAACTAGGCTTCATTTGAGTTTGAAAAACAAGACCGTAAGTCATGGGTGTTAACCTTGTGTCATGTTTCTATATTTCAACCTTCAATATTCAATACAGAATCCCATTTCATCGAACACTCACAAACGTTTAAAATGATAAACTATCAGTACTCCCAAGGAGAATAATATTCGTTTAAAACCCCTTTGACATATTTGGAGCATGTGTAAAAAGAAAAAAAAGAGTGCAATTACAGTAAAGAAAAAATGTTTTCATCAGTATTTATACACAAACATATTCGAAAAAGTAATTTTTAATGACACTAATCAAAAAACATCACAATTTTGATTTTGTCCTTTCTCAAGGTATAGAAGCATTCTCAAGTTTTCAGACATTACTAAACTTTTTTTTAAATAAAACTAATACAGCAGTCTACATTTTGATGTACAACTGATAAAGATCATTTAACGCGAAAATATTCAGTCTTTGAGATAAAATGATATATACTTTTGGTAACACTTGTAAACCTTTTAGCTTCCAAGAAAGTATCAAAATCTCCTTCAAAATTATGTATGAAAAATGGCTGCCATCTAGATTAGTTCTCTTTAACAATCTGTAAGGTAAAATCACTCTGAACATGAAATTAACTAAACCAAACTATAAACTGCTCAAATACATTACATCAGCAAAACCTCATATTAATCAAAAAAGGTTTTAATGGCTAATATGTCTAACTCCTGCAAAGAGAGGGAGAGTCACCATTAGGAAAGCCACAGATGTAGATATAATTATATGAAACTTATTACATACATTACATACTACCACTCCACAAGCTGTTTTTGTTTTCTATCCTGTCCTAGTTTTTCAAGAACATTACTGTTCTTATGCTACAACTGCACTGAAAGCAGAAAGACTTGGAAGAGTGGGACTAAAGAAAATACTCAGAAACCCTGTAAGGGTGGTTATATTCTAGGCAAAGTAATTTTTACTAAAGCAGGATGCATAAAATCATAAATCTCTATGGAAATGTGGAGAAAATAAACAATGAATAAAACAATAAAAATGCCTGATAATCAGCATATGTGAACAACAAAATAAAGAACGGTATCTTAATCCAGTGCTCTGAAACCTTTTACTGCCATTTCATAAACTAAACCAATAACACGCGTGGAACAGTTGCAAAATAATAAGATATCAATGGCACACCCATTCACAATCTACTCTAGATTCAAGCAGTACAATGGTGTTTCACAAAAGACGTTTACAAAACATAAGGACCTAAACAAAATTATTGCACAGCTTCATTTACATATACAACTCAAATACAAGATTTCTGCAGTGAGTTGTATTTTCACAGACCTATGGCACTCAAGATCAGTGCAAAACATTTGTGTCCAAGCAGCTTTGTTTGTAACATTCTCCACTGGACTGAATTTTCTTTTTTATGATTGCCTGAGCTCTGCTTACAGCTAAATATGATTCTATTGTGGACTAAATATCTAAAACCTGAGCCACTTCTTAGAGCTTCCAGGGTAACACTCCCTGGGAGAAAAAAAAAATTATGCACACAAATCTACAAAGCTGTTTCAACAGAGATAGACACCTTGTGGACAGTTTGAGAACTGCAGGAGCTGTGCTTGAGAGAGAAAGGGGCTTTTAAACTCTCAGAAATAACCACTGCAGATGTTATTACTAGAGCAGCACATGCACATTATGTACATTTACATTTATGACATCAGGGTGTCTTCCTTTCATGCTGTGCTACTTTCTGGGGTGGAAATAGCACAGACAGAATGATTACAGCCTTACTAAGACACTGTCACAGTTTCCTGTGTGTTGCTAGCTGTGTCAATGTGATCGGCTGAGGGTTCTTCAGCCTCTGAGGCGCTGGAGTCATCATCATCTGTGTGTTCTGCACTGTGGTACAGCATGAGGGCCTGGGTCTTATGGGTAATGGTGATGGTGCATGGACCTTGCGCCCACGGCTCTCCATCCACCTGCATTGGCATCCGAGAACTCTTCAACACCAGCTACCACAAAAAAGCAAAGGATAAAGAGTCACCTTTATTCATACAGTGCATTATGCAATACGTATCATTTCAAAGCAGCTTTACAGTATTAAATAGGAAAATAACAGAATCAGTGATGCAAATTTCTTCAAACGTGAAAAAAATCTAATTCTGCTTTCAAGTAGCTATAAACACAATAGTCATTAATCAGCTCGATTCAGTTCAGTGTTGGTTCAGTTCAGTTCAATACCAATGTTTATGTTGTAAAATTCATCAAATTATGAATTGAGATCAAATCAAAAGCAGCTTTAAAGAAGGCAACAGTGGCATAATTCAGCTCAAGTCAGTTCAATGTTGATTCAATCCTGTTCAATAACAGAACATGTTGCAAAATTCATCAATCATGAAAAATTTATTTAGGCTATAAAGCAGCTCTACAGAAGACAAATGAGTCATTATGCACCTCAACTCAGTTCAAGATTTGTTCTCATCTAATATCGTCAGCACCGATTTGTGGATTGCTATTATTCAGCATAGAGGTCTTTACAGGCATTATATTACATTACATTGGATAAGTGTCTGCTAAATGACTAAATTTAAAGCGACTTACAAATGAGGACAATGGAAGCAATCTAAATCAACAAAAGAGCAATGATATGCAAGTGCTATAACAAGTCTCAGTTAGCTTAATGCAGTACACGTAGCAAGGTTTTTTTTTTTTTTATTATATAATAAAAAGAAAACAGATAGGATCGAAAAAGCATAAAGCAAGCTAGTGTTAGAGGCCTTTTTTGCTTTTTGTTAATTGTATAATAAATAAAAAGAAAACAAACTGATAGAATACAAAAAGAATAGAGAAGCTAGTGTTAGTTTTTGTTTTGTTTTTTAAGAAAACAAGCAGTTAGTAAATAAATAGAGTTCAAGTCTAAAAGGGGCAAGTTTTTTTTTTTTTTTTAAAGAATAGAATTAGAATAGAGAGTGCTAGAGTTAGAGGGTCAAATAAAGATGGAAGAGATGTATTTTTAGCCGATTCTTGAAGATGGTTAAGGACTCAGCTGCTCGGATTGAGTTGGGCAGGTCATTCCACCAGGAGGGAACATTAAACAGGCATTAAAGTTAGCATGAAATAAAAACTGTAACCGTCTTTTCCCAGTTGTGATCCAAGTGAAATTGCTTCTTTAATAAGAAAAATAAAGGGAGGGACTTGAATTTGTCTTTCAGAAATCGACTGGATAGTCAGATTTCTGTTGCTTGCTAATTACTGCAGTCACTTCATGTGAGTGACAGGTTGCTGAAGGGACAGCATTGAGACTTGACTGGCTATTGGACAACCTTATTGCCCAGACCTGACACTGTAGACACGGCAAAAGGGAAGAGACGTCATTGCAAGGGGATAGGCATGTTAAAGTACAGTTTAGTTAAGTTTAGTTTGTCTGGCGTTTTCAATTCATTTCTATGGAAGCTCACATGTTGGCTTGTGAAAAACACTGAGCATCCAAGAGTGTACAAAACTTTATGCAAACGAGCAGCATCTGTCTTAAATATTTAAAAAATACAGATTGTGCTGGAGTTTCTGCTGGATTTTGTGCGTGAATCTTATTGTTTACACATTGGATGCTTTGATATATGTTAAATATTGTAGTTTTGACACTTTCACTGTGAATAGACTTAAAGGGGTCATATGATGCGATTTCAAGTTTTCCTTTCTCTTTGGAGTGTTACAAGCTGATTGTGCATAGATAAGATCCCTGAAGTTGCAAAGACTAAAGTCTCAAAACCAAAGAGATATTCTTTATCAAAGTTAAGACGTTCTAACACGCCCCCACATACCTACCTCACTACGTGGGAATATTTGCATAATGCCGCCCAAATGAGCACGCAAAGAAAGAAGGCGTGGTTTCAGGAACAGCAGTTAGTGTTGAAGCAGCCATGTCAAGGAGACGCTGTGTGTTTCTAGGCGAAAGCAAAAGCACTTTATTTGGCCTTCCAGAAGTAGATGCATTTAGGAATCTTTAGGCTTGAACTGATGGTAAAACTAATGACATTATTTACTGTCTTTACATTTATTTTGAAAGATGAAGCTCGCGATTATGGTAAGGGGCGTTACATTTCCGACGAGTGCTTGTGGTGTTCGGCCAATCAGAATGCACTGGGTCAGCTGGCCAATCAGAGCAGACTGCACTTGTCGGAAGGAGGGACTTTATAGAAAACGAAGCATTTGAGAGAGGCGGGGCTTAGAGGACCTACAATAATGTACAGTATTTGAAAAATAATGTGTTTTCTGAACATTAAAGCATGTCAACATATTCTGTTACACCAAATACACAAAATAATGATCTTTAAAAAGCATCATATGACCCCTTTAACAAGTTTATTAAATTGACATACCGTATATATGATTATATTGACTGTGTACTGAAAAAACAGATTAAACAAAATTGCTATAGACACACCCTAAAGTGGAGACGTTGTAGTGTTTTGAGTGCCATGGAGCTGAACCATGACTCACACTTAAGCACCATTTAAGCTGTATGAATAAAGAACATTTGTATGTCTTACCCGTACTGTATGTGCCTGTCCCAGCCTCACAGGATTGGCCAGATTCACCTGGATCTGTGCACAGTGGAATGAGCCATAAACTCCCACCACCTCTAATAAACCATCATCAACACTAAAGAAAGAAAAAGGAAATAAAGAAAATACAAATTAAACAGGCAATATTTGCAAATGTCATTCTACTCTGATCCAGATCTATAAGTATTAATTTTTATTTAATTTCAACCTAATCTTGACAAAGTCAAGTCTGTATATTATAGTATAGTACAGTATATAAAGTGTATAGTAAAGTGATATTTGGATTCTCACCGTGTTGGAGGATAGGGTTCATCTCCCATTCCCTCCCACAGTCTACAGCCACCGCCCCAGTAGCCGATATTGCACACTATTATCCCCTCCAGACTGGGCAAAGTCACTTGTTCTCCATCCAGCTCCAGCTAAAGAAGCACAATTAAGCACTATCGAACATTAAAACTATAATAATGCAGCATCTTCCATATGTGTGGCCAAAAAGAGAAACTATAAACTCATAGTTACATCTATTAGAAACAGGATTTTTCTGTAGTTTATGCTTAAAAATACACTTTTGGTCAGAGCTGTGGTATAGCGGTTACCGGTTACAGCACGTTGCTGCATTTTGTGTTAAGCTTCATAGCATTAAAATACTTTTTTCCTATTTCAGGTTTATGCACAAAAAATGTTAAACACTGCAGGGCTTTCAACACTGCTGGGTCTGCAGATGTCAGCTTCTGTCACATGGCATTTGAATTGGGTCTAACTGTTTGTATGAACAATGGTAGATAAGTCAATATTTGGGAAACCCGTTTAGAAAAAGTAATCATGTTTGCAATTTCATTTGGTGCTGCTAGCGGTTCAGAAATTACAACGCAGCTTTTAAGAAAGCATAACTTGTTCTCACAAAAGCACCAGGAATCCGTAACCAAAAGTAACAATACAGAGCTGTTGCTTGAAGCCGTTTGTTAGAGATATGCTGTGTCCCTATTCACCTCCTTATACTATGCCCTAAAAGTATGTACACTTTTTGTGAAGAAAAAGTACATACTTTTGAGTGTTTAGCAGAATAGTAGGCAAGCTTTGGGACATACTACTTTGTCATAATTATGTCTTTAACGGAGCACTCTGTTGCCATCCTATCACCATTTAAACTGCCTGTCAATCATCTTCTTACCGTTAACATCACCCACATTTCGTTTAATTTAATTTCCTATGGTATTGGAGAGAAATGATCTTTCAACTCCCCCCATGTGTTTGCATAATACTGCATTTAAAAATGAATGACTAAATGTATCTTTATAAAAGATCTCAATGTTGTTGCAGATGGAATATAACGCAGATAGCATGAAATAAATAATTTTTCAACAGGTCACCTTACTCTACTTGTCCATCGGCCTCGCATATCCGCCATGTCTGTAGTTTTTTTAACACTTTTAATTCACGTTTGTAATTCTAGTCTAATCCTCATCCAACACGCAATAGGTCGTGGGTATTAGCCCACGGGATTAGCTGTTAGAGTGTGCACGGATCTGGACTTTAAATTTCCACCAGAAATAGTAAACCATCCAGGTACCTTTAGGATACTCATTTTAACAAACCACGATTTGGGACACACTAATTCTAATTTTGAATGTTATTTAGGATGGATAGTATGTGAATTGGGATGCAGCAATAGATTCTTAAGGTTAGAATACACTACACAATTTTTGCCCCGATTTTCCCCTGATTTACAGTCCAAACAAGTTGACGCTAGTTGTCGAAAGTCAGAGTCAGTCCACAGATTTGAGTTCACAGATTTAATTGAAAATCACATAGTGTGTGATGATCACAGACTCCGATTTTTTAGCTTCAGACTATGATTCCATCCATTGATCTTCAGGTGTTTAGTGTATGATGGCCAGTTTTCCTCTAAGACTGCGTTTTAAAATTTGTTGCGATTTTAAAAGCCATGTAGTGTATTCCAGGCTTTAGTATTTCATCATTATATCATAACTGAGAGACACCACAGCAATGAAGCAGGAAGTTCCTGTCAAGGCTAAGGCTTCCAGAGAACGCGCTAATCATATGACGCCAACAACAATAAAGGAAACGATTAGAAAACACTTTTCCCTTGAATCACTTGTCTCAGTAAGCAAATGAAAATGTTTACCTCAATCCTCTTATCCAGATCTTTACATTCTTGCACTAAACAATCTTTGGTACCATAGAAGAAGTACACTGCCTGTGAGAAAAGAAAATTGTCAGCACCGTCAGCCATGAATTTACAAAACACTTCTGTTTTTAATGAAAAGGGGGAACCTAGCAGTGTGTTGATACAGGAAAAGTTGTGTAATAGTCCTACTAGTAGTCGATAGATACGTTTTTATAGGTACAGTAAACTTACTGCATTCATGTTTTATTGCAAAACACTTTAGCTGCTACTGAGGTGAGACATAGTTAAGATTAGGGGCAGGTTTAGTGTGGTATGGTTAGGTTTAAGGGTGGGTTAAGGGGCAGGGCTAGGGTCAACAGTGTATAGATGTATCTAAAGAAATTAATTAAAGATGTAATAAAAAAAAAAAAGATGTACATTTATGTACACAATAAGTGCATTGTATCAAAAAATTTATTTAAAAGCTAGTACATAGTAGTTAAAGACATTTCATATAAAAAGGGTCCTTTTTTTATAATTGTGGATGTATAAATCAACTGCAGAGTCATGACATTTTCTCAGTTATATTCAGTCTTTACACTGAAGAAATGATTTTGAAACAAGTAAACTGTAAGCAAACTTAAGCTAAATAAAGGAAATTAGATGGTTTTACAGATATAAATGTTTTTACATTGAAATATGCAGCTTATCTGATATGAAAAATGAATTAATCCCCTGATATGAAAAATGAAAAGATGGACAGGAAACGCCTCAGACCTTATTGATGATTCGGCTGGAGAAAAAGGAGGGCGTTTTCTCTCTGTGCGCATGGAAGTTCAGTGCCATGAGAGCATCAGGACCCACTGAGAAATAATTATTCATGGACAACACCTGGCAAGAAAACAACTTCATGATTGATTTAACAAATACTGTGTTTCATGGGATTTTATGCTAATAAATTGGTTGTGTACAAATTTGCTTAGCATACAAATAATTTCATTTGCATGTTTCTGGGGTACATCCTCCTGCTGGTTGATCATATATTGTATGTACTGACCTTTGGCTTACGAAAATAGTTTCCTTTGGAGACAACTTGAACTTTCCACCTAACACATTAACAGCAGAAATACAAAATAAATTGAATGACAAAAGCCATTCCTCATAATTCAAGACTTTACAGCACAGCCAGGGTCTTACCTGTCCATTTGGACTACCTCAGCCTCTAGAACATTCCTGAGCACCTGTTCTACTGGAATCTCTCCAGCATATCCTGCTCCCCATCCTAAAGAGTTTGATAAATCATTGCCTGTGCCCAACGGCAGGATAGTCACAAGAGGGATAAACTGATCCTGACCCTTTACAGAATGAGAAAGAGACAAACACAGACAATATTTTAATAACCCAAGAAACAACAAATGACCTTTTTCTAATGAAATAACACCACGAATGTGAATATAAGCATCACATAATGACATTACAGATCCTACTAGCAAGGCCACATACTGTACATGTACAGTCATTATATGGCACAGCGCTAAAACACATGGGGGGAAAAAGCTTGGCTTACATCCACAACAACTGACTTTAATATAATGTATAACATGTTCAAGTCCACTCAACTATTTGGCTACAGCTCTCACCTTCAGCTTCATGGTATCAATGGCATCCAGAACCCAGCCTACTGTGCCATCTCCCCCACACACCAGAACACGCACGCTGCCTGGGGGCAGAAGAGTACACAGCTGCAGGGCTTTAGAGGGAGGCAGCTCAGAAAGATCAAACACCTGGAAGAAACAAAAAACGAAATAACTTAACTTCTTGTTTTAATCATTAGATAGTAGGAAGAATGTGATCGGTCTTTCAAACAAAATAAAAAGAGCCAAGAATGCATGGAAACAGAGAGAGAGACTGGCTGATTATGTGAATGTAAGCACAGACTCAAGTGACACCTGCACGGGGTTCAGGAGGGTACGAAATTCTCCCAGCAAAACTTCCCCCATGTTGTTGCCACTTCTTGTGTTTGCCAAGACCAGAACCGGAGTCCAGCCACTCCCACAGACTGCAGCAAGCTGCATACAAAAAAAGCCTGTTTACTTTGTGGTGATCTTATTGAGCCCATAACTTAATGCTTTCTCTGAACCCTCACCTCTCTCTCTCTCTCTCTCTCTCTCTCTCACACACACACACTCTCTCTCTCTCTCTCTCTATCTCTCACTCTGGCTCACTCTCTCTCTCTCTTACTCTGGCTCACTCTCTCTGTCCTCATATACTAATCTTTTTGTACTCTCACTAAAGAATGCTTAGTAGCAAGCCGTATCATTAATTTGTTTTGTACATAAATGTGCCAACCGCTTGACAGTGGCTTTTCTGATCTGTAGGGACAAACTGCTTGCATAAATAAACTACACTGGTGTACTTGTTAATAAATACTCTACGGTTGTTGTTGTCCTTAACAGTCTGTGTATCATGCTGAAATTATTCCCTTCACACACACTCTAAAAATGTTTTGTTCGTTTACGTTTATGTGGTAACTAAGACCTAAATTAATTGATTTTACTTCTGACTAAAGAGGATACACAAAATAATTTGTAAAGGTCAAATTAGAAAACAGTATTTGCAACTTTTTTTGACTCTTATGCTCACCAAGGCTACAGTTATTTTATCAAAAATACAGTAATATTGTGAAATATTATTACACTTTAAAAGAACTGTTTTCTGTATTTATTTTAAAATGTAACTCGTTTCTGTGATGGCAAAATTAAATTTTCCGCAGCCATAAATCCAGTCTTCAGTGTCATTTTTAAACAATTTAATGCATCATTGCTGAATAAAGGTAAAAAATAAAATAAATCTTACTGACCCTAAACTTTTGAAAGGTGTTGTTTCTACAGCGCTGTTATTTTCATTCAGACCACAAGGTGGCAGGCTACAAAAGGACATCTCTCTTGTCTTAGACTACTGTATATAACTTGGAAAAAGGCCTTATCATTTAAATTAAATTATAATTTATAATTTAATTATAATTTAATTTAAAACTCTAAATTATATAGACATACAAATAAAAACATCTTTAGAAATCTCAACCTGCTACAAAAAAAGAAAAAAAAAAGTTGTAAAAAGTTTTACTTAAATTAAAAAGAAGAAACACTAATTAATAATAAGCTATAATTAAAAAAAAATAACAATAATAAAAGCCAAATTGGTGCCTTAAGAAAAATCACAGTGGTGCCAGCAATTCACTGCACTTTAACACTTATTATTTACTTACAGATGAAGAATAGCAAAAAAAAAAAAAAAAAAAAACTATTAACCAATTGGTCAGGTTATTTTCATTTAGTCGACTGTGCAAGCACTGATCTATTTTGCACATTTTGCAACATTTCAAAACTCTTTTGTTTGTAATTTATTCACAGCTGTGTTTTTTCAAATGCTTATGCATCTTTTAATTTATATATATTTGTTTAATCTATAAATACTGTTCATGTTCTTTTTAAAAAAAACACAAATACTGCATTAAAGAATGGAAATAATGACTCGAGATGCAAGTTGCATTTTTTCATGCTGAAAAAAGATGCTGAAAAAGTCAAAGATGTCAGTCTAAAACACTTGTACATATAAAAGCAATACATCTGACATTTATTACACTGCTTTTTGATTAATGGTTAATCATTTTGTATACCTATAAATTTTCTGGTTTGATTATTATGTGTTTGTGACAACAATATAAATTACATTCATAAACGCCAAAATATCATTTGAAAAAGAAAACTAGACAAAATTAATTATCCTTTAAAGTTCTGTCAATTGTTCTCAACAGGTTACTACTGTATATCATATATGTAAAAGCAAGCACAAAGAACATGTACATCAGCCAGGAACTTACACTACACAATGGTGAAGAATAGTGCAAAAGTATGTAAAATGGGACACAATGTTTCATACTTAAAATTATTATAAAGATTATTATAAACAAAATTAATAGAAATAAATTAGTAGAAATAAATCGGCATTTTATTCCCTGTTTTTGTACCTCTGGTTTAAAACAGGCATGTCTCCTTTAAGACAAAACAAAAAAAAAAGTAGAAAACTAGTCATTTTGGCAGCTTGGTTTCAACAAAATCTGTTTTTGGACCAATAACCTCTGTGCCCTGCTTAAAATAAAAAATGTTTGTCTCTGTTGTAAATTTTTTTACATATCTTTGTGTTTGTGGATGGATCCTCACCTTGCTGTACTCATCAGGGTGTCTTCGGCGGAGTTTGTTGACTTGATAGAGGTAATATGGAGGTATGATAACAGAGCGGAACTCTCCAAGATCACACAAATCATCATTCAGACTAGAAAGGCAGTCATCATGCACTGTGGTCTGACACCATACACACCTATATATATTTCAAAATAAAAACAAAAAATGTGAGTGAGGGCACTTAGAACTGGTAGCTTGGTAGCTGTACTAACTGCAAACCCTCTGTAGTAAAACTCACAGTAAGATTTCTTATTTTGCACATAATATACTTTTAATAAATCATAAAAAAAATGGCACAAATAATTTTAAAATGATTTTAAATCAGCACTTCTTTTGGTTTGAGCCTTAGCAAAAGCGGACCTGGTTACAGGGATTACTGACTCTTTAATCAAACCATGCTTTAGAAAGATTAAACACAAGAGAAAAGGACAGGCTTCTGGTTTGCTCTGTTTGTTCAACAGTCAGGGACGTATTTTAAAGTGCCACAGCCTTAACAAAAATGGATTTCAACAGACGCTTTCGAGTTCTGTTCTAGGCTGTGTGCTCTCTGCTGCTATTGAACAGTGTCTAAAGTTGTTGCCATTCAGCCATCCTTTTTGCTTTAAGTTAAGATGTAAAAACACCTGTCTGTTCTTTAACATTTTCTTGTAAATATTGACTTTGACTTCTGTAAATATTGTTATAACTATGGAAGATCTAGGAAGGTGGGCATCGGTTCTTTTCAAAATAATTTGTTATTGTTGTTTATAGTTAGAGATGCTATTTGTACTTTCTTTCTCAACTTAAAAAGTTCAAACCCATGCTAGAAGCTTGTTTTGTTTGCCTTGTTCCTTCCTCAATACATAAATTAATTCTTGTTTATTTTCACAAACCGTTCATTACATTTTGAAACCTTTAAAGTTGATCATGTGAAAATGCAGTTGTTCCTTTTTCCTACGTTAATTAAAAAATTAAATATGAATATCAATTTTTCTTTTATCCGTTTCCCTTTCATATTTTCCTCAAGCAAGGTTATTCATTCTTGTCCAAAATTGTGGTACAAGTTTAATACATCAAAATATATGACTGTTTTAGATCCTGATTTAGGAGGCTATTTCGCATCATAATTAGTGTTTTTCTGTTATATTAATTAAGAAAGAAAGAAAGAAAGAAAGAAAGAAAGAAAGAAAGAAAGAAAGAAAGAAAGAAAGAAAGAAAGAAAGAAAGAAAGAAAGAAAGAAAGAAAGAAAGAAAGAAAGAAAGAAAGAAAGAAAGAAAGAAAGAAAGAAAGAAAGAAAGAAAGAAAGAAAGAAAGAAAGAAAGAAAGAAAGAAAGAAAGAAAGAAAGAAAGAAAGAAAGAAAGAAAGAAAGAAAGAAAGAAAGAAAGAAAGAAAGAAAGAAAGAAAGAAAGAAAGAAAGAAAGAAAGAAAGAAAGAAAGAAAGAAAGAAAGAAAGAAAGAAAGAAAGAAAGAAAGAAAGAAGCTCATGGTCATATTAAATACCTATAGTCGCAGAGTTTAGGTTGATTCCCGCATTGCTGTTTGCACTCGGCACAGTAGCTGGCGAGGGGCACATTTCCCCTGACCCACTGATGGTAAAACCTCCCATCTGTCTGACTCTGGGTCATGATCTCCTTACATGAGAGGATGCGATCTGCCCTCTGTATGCACTCCTCATCCGCACATATGCCGCAGCAGTCACAGAACGCCCCCTGCAGGATGGGCTGAGAGCACACGCAGCAGTAGGTGGGCTTGTTGAACAGGTCCGTGTAGTGCCAGCCATGTTTGCTCTTTCGGAACAGATCTTTCAGCTGAACTTTGCGTTTGGGACGCTGGAAGCTGCACCACAGTGTGATGAGCACTGGGACCAGAACAGCAACCGTGGTCCAGAGGAGCAAGGTCCACTCTTCCCTCAGCTCAGTACTCTCCTCCATAGCCACAATTCTAATTTTACAGGAATTTCGTCATGCACAAGTCAGATCAGATGAAAATAATCAGTGATTGCCAGCGATCGTCATTAGTCAAGGTGTGGAAGTTTTAACGTCCCCCAACGAGCTTCTATTTCTAACCCCATCCGAGCAGCACATCATCATCGCATCGCCAGGCAATGCACCAAACCTGAGTCACACTGGTGTTACAGCACAGCCATCGTAAAAACCTCCTTGCTGTCAAACACTTGGTACAGCGAGACAAATTGTACTTACAGCAGATAAATGCATTCACGTATATGTTCTAGGTACATTTTGTTTTCAAGGGGAAGATCCCGTCTTCATCTTTGTTATCCATGCATTTTAAAAGTGCTTTGAAACCACTGGAATAACACAAAAAGCGATTAAAAACCTTACAAGATTCATCTAGTTCAATATACGGAAACGGAAGTGATGACGTAGGTTTATGGCGGAACATGTTCAGTGACCAATAGGAACACAATACGTGAGACAGAATGAGAACCGTAACATTTGCACGATTTTTATGCTTCACAGTATGACCGTTAAGCATCATGTAGCCTATCGTAAGAAAGACAAATGATAAATGAGATATAATAATGAAACAGAGGAAAGAGTTACAAAGAATAAATGTTACATTAAGAATGCTATGGTTAATAATACTGAAAACAAGACCTGACGTTTGTGCTTTTCACTACTCCCATGATGTATGATTGCAGAAATATATACATTTTATTGATATTTGATGGGGCAACATATTTTGTGTAGGAATAAATCGTAAAGAGGTTTGTTTTGTTTAAAAATCTTATAAATGTATGAGTCGGCTTCATGTCCCTAAACAAGGGGTAAAAAGCACAACTATTTACACAAATACTTTAGTTAAAATAGTATGTTGTGAATAATATAAGGGAATTATTGTTCAAATCAATCACTTTAGCAAAGTTTGTGCTATTTTCTGTTTATTTTGATAAATAAAATAATTTAGTTTTGTTCAATACTGCTGTTAAAATTAAAAAGATTCTGAAAGCATTGAAGGAGATCCCATAGTAGGCCTAATTTAATATAGCTTTACAGTAGTAACAATAAATATGGTATTTTGATGATGGTTCCATTAAAAATATGGCGATTATCTCTAAGGTGGACACCCAACTTACCATAACAAATGTAAATGTCAGCCACCTATTTATCATCATGTTAGCTATTGTGCCTTTAGCCCCAACAGCAGAGGTGCTTTTTACCCTAAAATATTTAATAAGTTATATTTCTTATTGTTTTTGTTATAGAGGTGTTAATGTTATGTTTTATGTTGTTGTATGCTAATGCATATCACAGCCTATTAGTCTATTTCTTTGATTTGCGGTGTTTTGTGTGAGTAAATGTGCACTGTCAATTCATGTTTATAACATAAACATATAACATAAACATCAATAACAATTGAAAGGCCCTTTCTGATGACATTTTATTATGTAGCCATCTACTGCATGGGTGCTTGTCAGGTACAAAGCAGATTATTGTAGTCTGGATAGCCAATATTAACATTATTTCAGTTACTGAAATACACAGACACCAAAATGCTATTTCATAATGCCTGAAACATTGACGCTATATTTGTTTGTTTGTTTTTTTCAATACATTTCTGGCAACCACAAAACTACAGCGATCAGGTTTTAACCATTATGGTTTTTTGTTGTTTTTTTCAGTTGAGTTTATTATAACTGCTCCCCTCTTATCCCAATCTGTGGTTTCTTACAATTATCATTTAACTAGCAATATGAAAAACAATGAACACTATAATTTCTACTGCTTGTCTGATTAAGCACCTTCTTGCAGTTTGCACTTGTAATATAATGACCCAAGTTTCTTTCTGCGGTCGCTGATAGTCAAGCAGCTAAATTCAAGAAATTAACCAAATATATGCATCCAGTAAATAAAGTGTGCGATTCACTTGTAGGCATGAATACTAATGTTTTGCAGATAGAGACAGAGAGGTATTTAACAGTGATATTTAGGACCAATACTACAAACAACAAAATAACTGAACACTGGAAACCTGACAGACTCGCTGAGTTTGATATGCCAATGTGAAAGTTTCTCAATACTGTACAGTCATACAAAACTTTCCACTTGAGCTCTCGCATCTATGGCTACTTTTATATGAGAGCTAGATTTACAAGAACAAAAACTAGTTGAAACAGAGAACATAGTAATATGAGAGCCAACACAGCTGAAAATTTTCACAGAAGAAAACATTTTGCCTAACCAAGAGCATTTTCATCTGCTGATCCATCTTACAGTAAACAAAAACTACTGAGAGGAAAATTCAGAATCAAAACTAACACCTAGAGGAAATTAAATGCAACGATATAATAGCAATGTTCCTCATTTCTACATCAATAAAGAAATTTCAGAGTAAATAAAAATGCCTACTACTATGAAAATACTATATTTGCTATGAGTCAAATGCAAACTGTGCCCTGAAGGTGGAAAAAAACTAAACAAATAAAGCTTTTATACCAGTAAACAAGTCAGGTGCATGTAACATGCAGTAAAATGTGAATACTAAAGAAAATGTTGATACTGAAGCCCTTGAGCACACACTGTGCCTGTCCACAAGTACAAAAAATAAGCTAATTTTGCAGCATAAAAATTTGTTGTATAACATACTGTAAACAGAGTTTGTTACAGAGGGCGTCCGTAGCCAATGCAACGCTCAAAGGCCCTTCTTATATTCATCTTCCCTTACAACTAAAAAGATGTAACAAACAAAGTTGGGTTATTGCTCCGTTGCAACCAAAAGAAATGTTAATTATGGAGGGACAAGTGCTGTGAACTTAAAAATAAAATAAAATGAAACTGTCAGGTGGAGTTAAACTTTGTAGAATTACTATAAAAAAAAACAGGTTGTTACTCAGATCAGTGTTTTAACCATTATGTAGCAGGGTCGTAGGCCTAGACATTGACGTTTAATTTAAAGTAAAGGCGACATCTTGTGGAAAATGTCTGTAACTACAGTCTCATCCAGCTGTGCAGCCAGGAGTCGTCTTCTTCTGTAGCCTATCCAGTGGCCTGTAAGCAGGGGTGCTGTGGGGTAACACGTTGTCGTGTATTTCTCCTCCTCATAAGTTGCGTAAACACTCAAGTGCAGTTATTTCGAACTGAGGACGGACGGAAATGAAAATGAAGCTGTTGGTATGCCTTTTTTGCGTGATCTTATTGACCTTCTGCACTGGTATGTTTTTCTTGCAGAAATCTTATACCATGGGTTTTATTTGCATATTACAGTGTTTTTGTTTTTCTTATCACTGTGGGTTGAGACGTTTGTGTGCATAGGCCTATTACTTGTTTTAGCGAGTCTTATTTTCATGTAAAATCAGAGCGTTTTGGAATATTTTGATAATGACTTTTGAAATAAATACCTACTATTTTCTTTTCGGCCTTCTTGCAGTTCTAGTAAAGACAGAAATGAGTGTATATTTCTGTGCGATTATTTTCATTATGTTTACGCCTAATGCTTTGTCATTGTTTTATCAATAGCCTCTGGCTGTTATTAAGCCTCTGGCTGTTATTAAGCCTCTCATCAAAAAACCACAACTTGACCCCAAATCCCCCTCACTTGCTTAACGATTTCTAATGTCTATACTAGCCTATAGCAAACTCAAAATTTGCGTAGTTATTTTTTTTTATTGCTTTTTGATGTTTTCATTTTAGGCTATATGCCTATTAGTTTTTATATATTCCTATCCCATCCCATCCTATTCAATATATTTATATTCCTATTGTTTTAGGCTAGCTGCTGAAAATGGTACGGCTGAATAAACTAGTCTTTTAAATTATGTGATAATTTCACCCACCCTGCCCATCCCTATAAATTAAAGAATCGTATCTAATTATAGACTAACGTGAGCGAAACGTGTAAAAACTGCTTTGAAAAACGCGGTGCGGCTGTTTATCTGCCACGTCGGTGTTTACCGTAACGGGCTCATTTTCATACCCCTCGCGGGTCAGAGCTCCAGGTCACGCGCGCTCAGGGGCGTGCTCCCCGGGGAGACCCGCTCATGAATGGGCACTTTGTGTTCTTCCATAGAGAAACAGCGCTGGGAAAAGGAGGGAGGGCTTGAAATGGGGAGGCAGGAGAGAAAGTGAGTGAAGTGTATGTGTGTGCGTGCATGTCTGTGTGAAAGAGAGAGAGAAAAAGGGAGCGAGATGAAGAAAGAGGGAAAGAGAAAGGCCAAAATTCATACAAATTAGACCCCCAAAAGACTCGAGGAAATCTGAAAGAATAAAGGTTCACAGGAAGAATGGCCGCCTGGGGAAGAATGGAAAAAATTAAATTAGCATGTAGTAAAAAGAAAGAAAGAAGGAGAAATTGGTAGGCTAATATTAAATGACACAAATTAAAGTCTTTGGTAATCTCATTTGTATACTACATAAAAATATACATAATTAATCAAATGTTGTGACATGTTTTACATTATTCATATAGGCAACCCCTTAGTTATTTAGACAAATCAATCAGTTAAATGTATTCACAAGAATAAATCATATTGTCATTACCGAAATTACAGTATGAAATTGTGATCTTGATACACATATATGTCATGTTCCTAGATGCAAGCCCCATCATTAAGGAGAGTTTTGCAAAGCAGCTACTCCGCACCAAGAGACAGAAGCCTGGACACCCTGATGAACCTATGAGGGTTGGGTGCCAACAACAGACTCCTTTTATTTACATGCTTAATAACAAAGCTTAAGAAAACATCATGCACGGGAGCCTGGCTGTAATTCTTTGTGATAGTAAAGATCTGTTCACAATGTTGCTTTGTGCTGGTTTTAAATGCCAAAATTCAAAAACAAATCAATAAGTGAACTCCGCTCCATGTCAGTAGAATTCAGAGTTCACGTGTATTTCAGGAACACATGCTGCATATGCAGAGGCTGGAGCAGAGGGCTCAGGAGACCAGCATGGAGCATTGGATGAACCCTCATTGCTTCCCTCGCTGTGACCGCAACTACGGCTACCCTGTGTAACAGGCCTGCTGTGATCCACAGGTTCTGATACCCCTCAGCGTTTGAGTCTCACTGAAGACTGCAATGCTTGAGTTTACTATCATGATTTCACATATTATGTAAATTGTTTACATTCACACTTTTCCTTATAATAAAAGAGAATTGGTGAAGAAAGTAATTAGATTTGCAGTGTGTCTAGAAATTTGGTTGAAGGCATTAATAATTGTTAATACTCTTTACATCATATGGGATGTTTTTTTCTTTGGCTTTTAAAGAAGGCATATTAAATGTAAATCCTGTTTTATCATGGAAAACGGTTTATATTTAGGCTACTAAAATCCTACGTATCTGAGGGCAAAACAATTCAAAGTGATTTTTTTTTTCAGGGCGTAGACAGGAATTCCGGCGACGACAAAGCT